AATCTAATTTAAATACAACTCAAGCCCACACTACTTCTTCTTCTCCTATTGACTAAAATTCTAGCTTGCTTAAACCACACTAACTATTGTCAAATAAATTCACACAGCACATTGATCGGAAAAGAAGTAGAAATTTCACACTAATCACTTCTTACACACAGAGATTTAGCAAAGAGGAACAAATTATAGCCTTAACCACTAAAATGCATGCACGTAGGGAATTCAAGGAGGAGGAGAATTCTAAGCTTCAGCCCTGAATCAACAACGACAGAGAAGGTAAAAAGAAAGAAGTAATCAACAGAAATAGAGGAGGAGGAAGATCACAAACCGAATATAGCACCCACAGCCACACCGAACAGTGAGAACGACAGCAACGCAAGGAAGGAGAAAAGTTTCGAGCGCCCATGCTATAACACGAACTGAGAATAGAGAAGGAGCATCATCAATCTAAAGCAGAACTAGAAAAGAACCAACGGAACAAATAGGGGACGAACTCGCGACTTATTCCTCAAAAATGGTAAGTTCACGATGAACACAGGGCAAGGAAGGATGAATGGGCCTCTGTTCGGATAATAAAAGGTAGAGTAGTGGCGGAACACGGCATTCCTGAGCACTAATGCCAGTGATGAGCGGTGGATAGAGAAGGAAGAAGAAAATGGAGGAGTGAACGATGAAGAAGAAGAAGAATCATGCAAGCTGTCTCCGATCTCTCTGATCTGTAGCTCACCGAGAAAAAGCAGAAGGGAGCAATTAAAATATAAAGGTTGGTGGAAAAATTACAAACAAGGATTCCATTAGATTTGCACTAACAAAAGGAGAAGGGAGAAAATTAAAAATAAAAATTGGTGAGAAAATTACAAACAAAAACCCCATCAAATTTTATAATCATTATTATTAATATATTTTATTAGAAAAAAACAACTGCACCTTATCACTTTCTTCATTAAAAAAGAAAAACTAACATTTGATTAAAGTAAGATTTGAATTCTAACTCTCCATATAAATAACTAGTATAAATTCTATTAAATTACTACTCCTCATTTTACCTAAAATTAACATAAATAAAATATTAAGTGGGAGAGAATTTATTTAATTTTAAAATTTTAGGTTATTACAGCTGTCGATCGAATTGCATGCATGAACTTGATCAGCCGCTTCGCTGTCATGAGGGTAATAAGTTGGCTTATCCAATGGACAGTGATGATGGGGTTAATCTTGAGCAATATAAGTTTCGTCTCAGCCCTTCTCTTGCAGCGTCCGATCAACTTTTTTAATCACAAACGGGACAGCTGTCTTCATCTCCGTGTGATCAACTTTTTAACCCAACACCCGTTAGCTCAACCGCATTCGGCACCAGCCACATCCTTCACTTCGCCAGACCACTATGCTTACCTCATCTGTTGCGCCATCTCCGAACTTAATTTCTACCTCAGATAGTGGGCTTTTTACCAGGCACTTTTACCCCTGCTCTTTTATTCCTCTTTTCAACTCTTTACTGTATCTTTACTCTCCTAGTGTCTTCTCCCACAAAATACAAATGTCTCGTTACGTTCCTCTCACTGAGCAGACTCTTTTCCTTTTAACGCATGAATGGCAACGCCATGAGGAGTTCTGGGTACGTGTTTCATGTGGGGACTTAAATATTATTGTCGAGAACAAGTTTTTCTTCGTAGTCACAGAGTTCACATTCATGGCCATTGTCGTCTTCGCGTGGGTTCACTACGTCGTTGGTTGGAACCGACGTCCACATGGGCTCGCTTGTTTCACGGTATTTTACGCAGTCACGGATTCATTGATCTCTCCTTGGAAGGCTAACGTTCATCGACACTATCCTCCTATACAAAATTGCCTTGATTGTTTTCGTCCTTTGCTTCCACATTTGCTAGCACGTGTTTTCCCTGCGGTGGGCCACACTTATTACGACTCCATCCAAGTTCAAGAACATGATGGTGGTCATTCGAACGTCTCTCAGGTTCCAGAAAATGGGTTCGCTCAGCATGCTTTCCGGGGAATCAATGGTCGGTCTCCACTTCCTTCACACCTGTTTTTCCTTCGGGACCACTTAAGCTGGGGTTTGTTCCGGCCGATTTCTATTCCTTGCTGTCATCTTCCGTGAAGCGCAAGTTTGCTCTATTCTGTGTTGCAGAAACAGGGCATGGAGAAGATTCTGGATTTACCGAGGTTTTAGCCAAAAAAAAACCTCATCAAAGTGGATGATTCCAAAGGAGACCTTCATGGACTGTGGCACCGTGGAGGTCCATCTTCAAGCGTTGCAGCTTTTGGAACTTCATTTTTGCGTCTTTGTCTGGCTTGCATGTTATCGTTTTCTACTTTGTTTGCTTTCTGTTTGTTCGTTGGATGTTTCTTCTGTCATGCTTTGTCTTATTCTCTATCATGCAGATAATTTTCCACAGCAACCAAAGCTTACTTGGCTTTGGTTTGTCAAATCGGGAACTTTATAAACGTTTTGATTTCCTCCTTCTTAGGAAATCATTCTGTTTATTGGCTTGCGGATCTTTCTATTGGATGGGCCAATCTTTAGACTGGTAGTACTTTTTTTTTGGGGGCAAAGCTTTTTTTAACTTTTTCATCCACAATTATTCGCATGTTCTCAAATTTGGCAAGGCTGATCCGGGAGACTCTTTTTCTCAGTTCTGTAGCTCGGCCGGGTTCTTTTTTGGTTTGTTGTTGTGTTATGTAAGTCGAACTTTACTATTGGGCTTTCAGTTTTTGGTCTGAAAGTCTGTGATTTGTAATCGTTTGATATTTTTAAATATAAATTGACTTATGTTCAAAAGAAAATATCTTCTCTTTCATTGAAAAACATATTAAATATTCCATAGGTAAAAAACAACATTCTAATTTATAAAAACACAAAAAGATTTGGCTCATGGTTCCGATTTCCAGGAAGCCAGCGTATCATAAAAATAAACAATAGAAAGAAGACGGGTAAATTTAAAAAAGAAAAAGAAAATGAAACGACCAGTCAACCCCTGAGGGCGAATTCGGTAAATTCATAGAGCCTCTTTCTCCGTACTGCGCTTTCCCTTATATGATTCTTCCTCCGCCGCAGAAGAAGAACCCTGATATATGATCTCGATCATTCCGGTTCACTCTCTCTGCTCTGATTCCTAACCCTTTTGTTTCTGCGCGATCTCCACAAGCTGATTTATGGATTACAGCTGCAAATTCGATTCAATTGAAGTGGGTTTGATCGCAAATTTCTACGAGCAACAACCATCTGAATTTCTGGTTTCATCGATATTTCAACCCCTCGACCGATTGATTCCTTGGTTACGGTTTCTACGGTTTGATATACCCAAATAATTTATAGCTTGTCCGCTTCTTTGATTTTTCAGAAAGGTATCTTTGGGTGTTCTACGGTTTGATATTCCCAATTTAGGTTCTGCTTTGCTTGGAACTTCGGTGAATTGTATGCAGAGGCAAGTATGAGACACAAACAATTTTAGTCCATGAGTATCGTTGGAAATTTTGTTCAAGTGTCAAAGGCTTCTGATTTTGCTATCTACTTCATGTCTTGAAGGGATCGTTATATATCAGTTTCCTTTTATCTACTGAATTGAAATTGAGTTGATTTTGAACGCATAGAAAATCATTAGGGTCTTTGTTGTAGTTAGATCCTGTTATAATTAATCAAGCATCATTTTCGATTATAAAAAATAAAGCATCATTTTCAATCTTACAAAGCCTACCAGAACAGGGTAGTGATGTACTCTGCAGAAACAGAACCCGGGGAGGAAAAAAAAGTGAAGATACAGGATGAAGGGGGAGAGAATTGTGGTGAGAGTGTAGAGAGAGAAAAGAAGAACAAAACTTAGCAACAATATTCAATACTCAGTATTAATCCAACCATCTAACCAATCTTAAAACAAAGCAATCATTGACCTTATGTTGTTATACTATTATTATAATCTATGGTACAGTCAAACAGTAATAATTTGTTAAGTACCCTGTTTTCCTTCAATTATATGACTATACGTTATCCATATCAAAAATTTCTTAAGCTACCAAATCATATTAGGTGCTTAAGTCATTTTATGATTATTCTACTGGTATTGGAAGAAGCTTAAGTTACTCTACTTTTTCAAGTGGGTTGGAGCAGAAAATATCAACTTGAACCAACCGCTATCGCTAGTTGAAGTAGATAAAGAAGCTTCAACAACGTTTGAGAGTTCAAAATTGCGTTTCTTGTTTTCTCACAAGTAACTACCAGTGGCTGTCCTTTTTTCAAGTTGGGCCTTTTCGCTACTTTCTTGCTTCAAAACTCAAGGTTGAGTTTTTCCTAACGGTCGAAAATGGTGAGGAATAAGTATGGATATTGGAGCAGTATAATTATGATATGTGTTTCTACGTGTAAAATAGGAATTTATGATATGGATGGTAATTAGTTAAATACAAAATTACAAGCACGGATTATTTTGGTTTATCATAGATTAAATTAATTCTTATGTTTCAGGTTAGAATTTTCCGAGTGTTGCTTTGTGTTTGGATTGATCAAACTTCAAATTAAAATTACAACTTTTACTCAAGCTCTATTCTCTCCTTTTCTCTCTCTGAACTTCAAGCTCCTGATGTTTATTCCATTCTACTTTGTTCATGTTTTCTGCATCAAGAAGTCATATTATATTAATGAGTTTGTTCGAATTGAAATGGAAGAAATAGATTGATCTTGATGTGGTTATCGCCATCTTGTACCCATTTCTTCCTTTGCTCCTTCTTTTGTACTTAATGAAATAATCCATTTTAAACCAAGTCTTGTTGCACCCAATTTTTGCTTGCACATTTTTTAATTAGTTATTTATATATTCTATGTTTAAATACAGACATATCTTCAAATTTGTACAGTTATTCAATGGGAAATTTTGCACGGCTGTTATCTTGGTCATCTCATACTGGGCTCTAGTGTCTTGACGTAATTTATATAGAGATAAAAGTGAAAGCAGTTGAAACAATTGTCTGTCAGCTGTTGTTTGGCTAAAAACTGGCCATGGCGGCCAGATCTTCCCTGAAGAAGATGTCACAGGCTAAGGGTCAATCTTCTGGTTGGGCTGCTTTTGATTTCAAGCAGAGACAGAAACAGGGTATTGAATCTGGAGTTGCCCAGGATCCCTTCCCAGCCATAGCAAGCAGCCCAAATTCTTTGAGACAGGGCAAGAAGTTGCTCAAGAATAATCATGCTCCGGTCAAGTCATTTTCTTCAGTCCTCCTTCCGTCTAATAATTTTCCAGCGTTGAAAGCGAATAGGAATGACAAAACTATGCCTTCAAGTCATGATTCTGGCGGCAATTATTGTAATACTGTTCCTCTAAAAGATGATACTTTAGCCATAAAGAAGCTCAAAGACCAACATCTTTGGGCTGAAAATAGCTTGATTGAAGATGTCTTGGCTGCTGTAAGTAATGATGTTTCCAAGGCCTCAAAACTATTGGAAACAATGGCTTCTTCTGTCAACTTTGAAGAACTCAAAATGGCTTCTGCAGTCAATTCTGGAGATCAAAATGAATCAATTGTTCCACGATCAGCTACCCTGGCTGATGTTCTATGTGATAAGATGACAGACAAAGGTCTCTCTTCAGAAAATCTAATGGACCTTGCTCCTTTTGGCCATCACAAAGACTATGACAAAGACTATGGAGGTGGAAATGATTCCATAGTCCAAGGTTTCTCTGACTATGGAAACTCAAGATCCAATACTGGGCTCTTGAACTCTGTTCCTGTTGAGCCTGAATGGGAAGAGGATGATGTTTATTTAAGCCACCGAATGAATGCATTGCGAGTGACGAGGTGTGAATGCTCGTTCATTCTTTCTCCCCTAAGATTTTCTCAGAACTTGTCTATCATCCTTGCCCTCAGATCTCGATTTGGTTAATTATGCCATGTTTATACAGAGCATACCATACTTGTAATTTTTTTTTTTTTGTCGACCTTTCACAAGACACTAAGGCATTATACCATATTTGTTTAACAGGTCAGCATCTCGACATTCTAAGGCAGCCACTAATGCTTTTCTGAGAGGTGATCATTTCTCTGCCCGGCAGCACTCAATGAAGGCTCAAGAGAACTTGCTTACTGCTCAAGGACTTAATGCTAAGGCAGCCAAAGAAATTTTTAGTATCAGGAATAGTGAAAATGATCTATGGAGATTGGATTTGCACGGTCTTCATGCATCAGAAGCTATTGAAGCATTGCAAGAATATCTGCATAGAATTGAAAGCCAAGGATTCTTGAGAAGTTCAAATGGAGTGAAGGATAAGGATGGGATTGTAAGTTTGACTTCTGGGTCAGTTAGTAGCATGGATAGGCAAAATTTGGATAAACAACTGGCACCTGTAAGGCTTAGGTCATCAGCTTTGGAAGTCATAACAGGTATCTTTACCTTCTTTACCACGTACAACTTGTCACATTTATGTTTGTGCTTATATAGCTCTTAGCTAAAAGCCTAAGAAAGCCTTTGGATTAATTTTTTGCTTGTTTTGATACCAAGCAACAAGAATGAAGGTTCCACCTTTGTAGCCTTGAAAGAAGCATGAGTGTTGGAGAAATAAGTTATGCATCTTACTTAAATTGTTTTATATCTTATTATTCTGTTTTAATGGAGGCTTATTTTTCTAATTTTTCCTTACTTTATACATTCTTACATTAAGTGTTTTTTTATTTGTTAGGATAACACTAGTTTAAGTTTTCTTTTTTAAGGATTGGAATGGAGTTACATCCTTTAATTGGAGGGAAAGCTTGCTTTCCCATTCATTGTCCGCAATGTTATTTTCATCTAATAAAATAAGTTCAGTATGAAAATACATCTCTGCCCATCACTTACCATCGTCTCAATGGAAGTGCTTATCCTTAATGGTCCCACGTGATGCTCGTGCTTGTTATTGGCAAAAAAGAGGAAATCCTCGCTGGTCTAGATTGATCACGCTTATCCAAAAGACCAACTCTAGGCTGCTAAAAATAATTGTTATATACTCCTTTTATTCCAATTTATAAAACACTTTTTTGATAAAAATTACATGTCAATAAAGCTTATTAAATACTCTTTACACAATTTTTTTTTTAAACGAAAAATATAAACTTTTAAAAATGCTTTTCATTTAATGCTTTATTTGTAAAAGAATAATTAAAGAGAGAATATAATGAGAAGGGTAAAATTGAAAAAATATTATTAATGAAACTTTATTTTTGTCCAAGTATCTTATATTTTGTAACGTTAAATCTCCTTCAAAAGTGCCTTTTAATTTGGGACTAAGGTAGTATATCATAGCATATAAATTCCTTGGCAAATAAAATGACAAAAATTCCATTCATTAAAAGACCACCCCACAAGGCACTAGTCTGAAGAAAAGCAAAAGGCAAGTGGGAAAAATTATTCTCCCCCCATCTTTATGCCAGAAGTGATGTAATTTTTGTTACTTTTTTTTTTTGATGCTATGCATCTCTCATCACCTTCCTGTGGTTTGATTTCTTCCTGGAAGACTATCAACTCATCACTGGACTGTTGAGTAACTTCATATTGAATCTGAAATTACTAGTATTCCAGGATGGTTTAATCACCTTTCATTTCTTCAGGTATTGGCAATCATAGTCGAGGACAAGCTTCTCTTCCAACAGCTGTGAGAAGTTTCCTTAATGAAAATGGGTGGGATATCTTTCCTTCTGCAGAGGACATTTCATACGTGTCGTGGAATTCACCTTGCTTATTTGTACGTTCTCATTTTAGTTTAATGATGTTAATCTGCAGATACCGTTTTGAAGAGATGAGACCAGGAGTGCTCACCGTGTGGCCCAAGTTTCGTCGAAGTTGATCTGGATTTCTATATGCTCAAATATGTCATTGTACACATTTCGCTGCTTCATTGTAAAATCTTTGTTCGTTTGTAGGAAAATTTGATATTCTGTCAATTGAGATTTCCTTCTTTAGGGCGTGGAATAGTAATAAGTTATCTTTTGTAACCTTAGAAGGATTAACGTCACTTCAAAATTCTGATATTGATGCATGTTCTGTATGTATATTCTTGAGTGATGAGTTTGATTAATTAGGCACCGTCACCTTGTATGTTTGTGAATCAATAGTGATCATATTTTCTTGGCATTTTTTATCAGATGGCTCAGACTGGACCGGCTGTTCATGGAAGAATTTTTCACACGGAGAAAGAACTACTGTAGTTTTTCCTCTCCCCCTCTTTTTCTTCGTCTGTAGTTACTTAGATGAGGAAATGATACTTCGATTTCTTGGGTCTAAAAATTTTAATGTGAAATAGGATGTAAATATTGATTTCAACGGTTACAAATATGAAAATTTCAATTGCAAATCAATCATTTAAATTTTATAGGTCGCTTTGATGATTTACAATAGAAACTTCCATGTTCTTAATGATTTGAATTGATTTTTCTAATTCATTTAGTTTTTTTTTTTTTTTTTTTGGTTTCACAAGGCGGACCAGAAAGATCCGCATTCCATAAAGACTGATCATGGATATTAGATACATATAAACAACGTTTCATACATGGGTACAATAAGGTCCATTCTGATTCTTCGATCATTTTCTTCACAATTTTCCAGGCTAATTAATAGAAAAGTACAAGACGGCGAAAACTCAAGCAAATCCACAATAAGGTACATTCAACTCCTTGTTGCTTTGATTATACTGACGAAAGACAGACTCAAGTGAAGAGCTAAGCACTCTAAGAAAAAAGAGAGACTCGAGCCAAATTGGATCAAAGGACCCAATTCAATAGCACATGTCGTGGCTGTGAAAAAATAGCACAAATATATAACAACAAAAAAAGAAAGAAAGAAAAATAGCACAAATTCCTGGGATATCTTTTGCAAAGGAAGAATTCAATTCCTTTTAAATTATTAATCGAAAGGACCTTGAGGAGAATATTCAAACCATTCGATCGTAAAGGGATGAGCTTCTAGAGATTATTTTTTTATTTTTTATTTTTTTAAAATAATTCTTATACAGTTATCCTGAAAGTTGGGATCATATAATCACTATATCTATCACTGAGATCACCTTTGTGTGCAATAACTTCAGCATTTATTAACATGTCAGTATATATTTGTTTTTTGTAACGACTAAGTTAAAAAGTTAAATATTTTAAGGACAACACTAATAATAATTTAGCATAAACTCCATTTTTATTTTTCTACCAACAGCATAAACTCCATTTTAAGAGCTATTTCTTGCCCTTTGAGAATAATTGGTTTTCCAGTAGTTAAGTAGGGTGGATTATAATTTTATTATGTCATTGTTCTAAGAAATCCATGAAAATAATTGTACTTAGTTTTTCCCTCCATTTTTAATGAATGCTTCACGTATTAAATACCTTCGAAGACATCAGGGCCTCAGTCAAAAAAGTTAATCATTCTGCATGATAAATAGATTAATCGATTGTGTTTAGAACCAAAAAAAAAAAAAAAGCATATAGGTTGTGTAATAATTTGATATTTAATCTATAACGACGATTCTTATCCATTTAGCTTGTGGTTTTTTTTTATTTTTTGGGATAGAGCATTGGTGTAATCTAGTTTGAGGTACGTTTGAGCACAAATGTGAGCACTTCTCTCATTAGAGATTCAAATCTTGATTTGTCATGTTATAATGGACTAACTCTTTTCACTTTTATTATTTTGCAGAATATATATTGAAGTAACTCCATTTTTTTTTTAAATAATGTCAAGTGATTGAATCTCGAATCTTTAGCATAGAAAAAGGTCATATTGGAAGGGTTATTTTAATTGAGGTTGAAAATACTTGAATTTGGCCAGAAAAATCGGATGATAGATAATTAAAATTTTTCCTACTGTGTCGTATGATACTGATATAAGTTGCTAATGTTTTCTTCACACATGTTTCCAGACTATGTTTGGTAAAGATGAAAGAAAGCCTGTTTAAGAACAATTCGAGATTATAAGAATACTTCAGAGTAAGTAACAACTCCTTGTTGGTTTTCAATATTGAAAGACACTCGACATGGAGCACCTAGCTAGGTACTGTTATTAAAGCCCTTGAACTGAATCGCCTGCGAGTCTATTGTAATATGACAGTCTCTGAAGTTAGCGCCATTGAAGTTACCTTGAGTCTGTCCTGAATTCAAAATAGCATTATTGTTCTGCGTTGAGACAAGAGAATCCCCACCACCATTAACGTTATTGTCTTGCCTTTCTACTTCTCTCACATCAGCACTGATGATCTGCTTCTTTATAACTACAGATCTTACCTGTTTCACAACATCATGCGGAGGCATACCTGGTACAAGATGAACATGACATGGGCCAAGTGGTCGTCTAAGGAAGTCATGAAATTCACAGTGTGGTCCAGAAAGATCCACGTCAAGCCCTCTCAATGGATTACACAGTACAAGAATGAAATAACTAAGAACTGAACCACCAGCAAAACCAGTATTGAACTGAATCTCCCATGCTTCTCTGTCAATTCTATACAACCATAACTGACCTGTTCTGTGTCGAAACTTATCTTGATACCTTAAAAGTAACACTCCTGGTGCTGCTGTTCGTACGAGGAAGTTCCCTTTGAATCATCAACTTGAGCATCACGAAACACAATAAGACCATTGTAATCTCTCTGAGTCGAGAGTTCTATGTCTACTCTGACACTGTTACCTTCCCATAAGCAATCATGGAGTGTGAAAAGCATCTTGTTTCGATTCACTCTGCAATCTGAGACGCAAGTCTGTGATGGGTCGTAACGTGAAGTGTAAATGAGAGCGAACTCTTCACGAAACTCTTCACTTGACCATGTGAAGAGCTTGGCTTTGACTGTAGGGTCTCTAAGCATATTAGGGCGGAATAAGGGACTTGTGCCCCATGGGCCACCCATAAGCATGCGAAACATTTTGAAGGAAGCTGAGTGTGTTTACAGGGAAGAAGAGAGACGAGTGAGGGTGGGTATATGCTGGATCGAAACATAGTTAGGAAATTATTTTAGGGAGAATGACAATTAAGGACCTGCTAAAAATATTAATCTCAATTACGAACCATGAAATTTTGAAATCCGAGTTAAGGACTATGGTCCTTAATTGTGATAAAAAAATGAAATTTGTGAGGTGTGATTCACTAACGCGACTTGAAAATTTACTAACCCAACTTGAGAAAATTACTAACGTATATTGTGAAAGCATGAAACCCACTTGAAAATGGAATGTTTAACAAAAAGCGTCACTTGGGAATTCACTAACTAGACTTGAAGAAATTTTTAACGTATATTGTGAAAAAATGAAACCCCACTTGAGAATCATTAATAAAAAGTGACTTATCCAAATTGGTATTTTTTATTAAACAATCGATTCCCAAGTGAAGTTTCATGTTTTCACAATATACGTTAGAAATTTTTTCAAGTCTAGTTAGTGAATTTTCAAGTGACGCTTTTTGTTAAACATTCCATTTTCAAGTGAGGTTTCATGTTTTCACAATATACGTTAGTAATTTTTTCAAGTTAGGTTAGTGAATTTCTAAGTCGCGTTAGTGAATCCCACCTCACAAATTTCATTTTTTTTATCACAATTAAGGACCATGGTCCTTAACTCGAATTTCAAAATTTCACAGTTCGTAATTGGGATTAATGTTCTTAGCAGGTCCTTAATTGTCATTCTCCCATTATTTTATATTGGATTTTTATGAAAAATTAGCATAAATCCCTGAGAATAACTTTTAAGTAACTTCAATTTTTTTTCCAAAGGAAGAGAATTCAATTCCATTCTATTATTGATTGCAAGAGGACTTTTCATTGACGAAAATATTCGGATGCATTCTAGAGCGAAGGATGATGGACAATTGTGATAATGTATCGAGCTATTTTAAATTTGAGCTACATATTGATGAGTTTACTTGTCATCTGACCTGTTTGTGTTGTACTGTAAAAGATATCATTCTGCGAGTGTAAACGGAAATATCGGCATTAATTATAAAAATATTGCTACATATCAAGATTCAAATATTACACGGTTTAAGAATTATACGTGTGTTGTCTTGTCCATGTTACAGTTGATGATTTTTTTGTTTGGAAACACATAATCATGGGTTTAAATTAGGATTTAAGTCCTCTAAAATTAAGAACTATGAATTTCTGTAAAGCTTACCTTTTAAAAAATATAAAATTTTATATTTTATAATAATAATAAAATAAAGAAATATTGAAAAATTTGACAAAAATTCACAAATCTTAACCTTAGTCCTTAGGGGACTTAAGTCCTCGATGGTCATCATTTCCTTTGATATCGGAGGGAGGCCGCTGGACTTGGCTTCGCTCCGTTGACAATACACACCTTCACAGCTCCACTGCATTTTGACAAAACTTGTTTAGATTTAATGTTTTAATGTTTTAATTTTATTTTATATTTATTAAAATAAAAAATTTATAAAATTTTTAATAAATATGATCACTAGTTTGAACAATTCAAGTTTGATATAAATAGTCCATATTTATAAATTTTTTAATAAATCTACTAAACAGTCTGAATAGTTTAGATTTAATATGGATAATCTAAATTTATAAAAAAATTAATAAATTTAATCACTAGGCTAAACAATTTAGGTTAAATATAGATGGTTTGAATTTAAAATTTAAAATTTAAAAAATTTAATATCAAATCTACATTGCCCAAAATATATCTCAATTGTCAATTTAAAAAAATCATAAAAAATTTTAACATTAAATTTAGGCAATTTATATTAAAATTATTTAAATTGGTGATCAAATTTATCAAAAAAATTTATTTTAATAAATATAAAATTAAAATTAAAATATTAAATCTAAATCCTTTAGATTTTTATCAAAATATAATAGAGCAAAGCCAAGTCTGAGGCCGCTAGCTTGGGCTTTGAGTATTTGACACTTTGCCAACAACCATGGTAGTAGGAAAATGATTGTTATGAAATAAAAAAAAAGAAAAAGATTTTAATAAATGTAATTTGATTTTTAAATTTCATTGAGATATTTTTTGATACTTTAATAAAATTTTCTTTATTTAAAGGATTAATTAGAATTAGGTCCCATATATTATGCACAAAGTCACGAGCAATTGCGATATTGGCAATGCGGTCCAACTTTTGTTTACTGGTTTTAATCTGCAG